CCCCCCCCCCGCACCGACGTTGTAAAGCTCGTTTTGGACATGACAACTTGTACTTCTCATTGTTGCATCAGATCCACCTGTATCCTGAAACAACTGGTTTTTCCCCATCTCCTCCACAAGTTATACTGACATCAAATATAGTGAAAGCAGGGGAAACCTAGGACTTCTTATATTAAATTCTATGTTTTTTTCTACACTGCCAAAGCTTCCTCCTAGTCATTATTATACTTGACACTGCTTGGTCAGTCTCTACCTACTTCCTATTTTGTTTTCTGTCTAGGCTAGAAGTGAGTATTCACAAGCACTGCTAAGGTGATTCTTAGCAGACTTACAATATTTAGGTATTAAAGATTATTTCTTTGTGAGTTTGTTGTTATTTGCAATGATTGTTGTACCAGTTGTTCTCTGAGTCCATTGTTTCCTTGTATGGGGTGTCCCTCCTTTGTTCTTTGTGTTTATAGCCCCTGCAGAAGAAAATGCTAAGTATAATCTGAATGTCAGTATGATACAAATAACCTTGTATACGTAAGAATGTTAAATAGAATGCTCTAAAGAAACCTAATGAATGAAACTGCCCCTTGACCTTTATTCTTTCCTGGCCCATCAAATTCAGTATAGCTGGAACCAAAGCTGGATCTTGGTAAGTAAAGACAAATGATCATTTCTAGGACTGAAGACATTATAGAACTTAGAAGAGGAAATATCTGATTTTTCCCTCCAGAAGATCCCAAGTTAGATTCATTGTTAGTACTGAGAGCCACTTAGAAGCCATTGCCATATTATCAATCAGAAATCTGGACCCAGTATGTAGTTCTTTTTAATCATCCATTTATTGAGTTATCCAGAACCAATACTATTAAATGGCGTAGTCTCTTATGAGTAGAGATCACAAAGTAGATCATGACATTTTCATAGTTGCAAGTTGAAACACTCATTAGATACCCTATATTTCCAAATCTTGAAACAATGTTGGTCAACACCAATTTATATAAAGAAAAAAATGATTTTGGTGAGAATTAGATAGATCAGCTAAACTCAAGATACTCTACAAATTTAACATAGTCTTTCATTTTCTGGTAATACATGCCTATGGATATATACCAATATCAAATAACCCCTTTTTTTATATTGTGCTGATGCTCTGGCTTAAATTCAGGGCCTGAGTGCTGTCCCTTAGCTGTTTTATTTAAGGATGCCTACCAGTTGAATTAAAGCTCCACTTCTGGCTTTTTGGTGATTAATTGGAGATAAGAATGTCATGGACTTTCCTGCTCAGATTGGCTTTGAACTTCAGTTCTCAGATCTCAGACTTCTGAGTTGCTAGAAAGTACCCCTTTATTTGAAAACATATTTCTATTTCCTGATAGGAATAATACAAAGTCACTTTTTTAAAAAAGTTGTGGTTAACTTGGTCTC